TGCCAGGCGGGTTCCAGCGTGGTCCTCGTCCAGGGCTGCAAGGGGACCCACAGTATCCCAGGCACTAGTGGGGCCCTGACGGACGGACCTGCACGCATGCTTTTGCCGTGAGGTATTAGCCAGTGCTGAAGGCACAGGCGGGTGTACCCTGCGAGCGCGCGGCTACTCGCCGGCGGGGCAGGTGGCTGCTTTGATCGTCGGGTGGGTGTAAGTGCGGTAAGAGCGTTGTATATCCGATGAAATCGTTTCAACGAAGATGTATGTAGGTTCATGCTAGTTGACCTCACATATTCAACATATATAAAATATCGAACTTCGCATTCATCTACTTAACGTTTTGTTAGATAAGTATATTCAACAACATACCATACATACTACTCACAGAACCATCCATCTTATCAACTGAGCTATCGGGTACCACTGCCAAGATATATCGATACATACACCTCAACATACCCAACTTAGTAGCTAAGTCAGCTAAGTCGATGTGGGCTGTCCGATTCGGTTAACCCGAAATTTGCATAACTTTCTATGTTTTGCATGTTTGTTCTTGATATTGCTATGTTTCGGGAAAAAACCACAAAAAACGTTTTAACAACTACAACACAACAGTTTTTCAGGACAGGGCGCCGCAGGTCGACGCGCCGAGCCGCCCTCAGGACGCCTGCGGGGCGCGGAGGGGAAGGGGGGAGAGGGAGAGGGGGGGGGATCAACTATTCTTCAAACTGCCTCCCCTCGGCGGCCATCACCGCCTCCCCTCTCCTCTCCTCGTTGTCGGCGGCCAGCCCGCCCCCGCTCCCTCCTGCCGCCTTCCCTCCCCGAGCCCGCCTTCCTTCTTCGGCGGCATATCCGCCCCTCCCTCCTGCACCTCTCTATCGAAGGGCGGCGCATCCGCCAGCGGCATATCCGCTCTCGCATGCGCTCGTTTTTTCCTTTTTCACGTGATGGCGAGCACATAGCCATCGTCCTGTAGTCGCCGATAAGCCGCCCAGGCTGGCGGGATCAGCTCGGCGGGCATCACGGCGACGTCGCCGCGCGGCCGCCACAGGGACGCGCCTGGGCATGGCGCGCGCACCCATTCCAGGGTCTCCACCAGCAGGTAGCTGGCGGCGCCAGCCTGCGCGCAGCAATGCACGATGTACGCCTCGCCGTCGCCCAGGAGAAAATCCTGAGGGCAGCAACGCCTCGATTTTTGGGGGGGCACACGCATGTGCACCCCTAAATACCAAGGTTGGTTGCGCCGTCTGTCCTGGCTGCCGTACATCTGGCCGTCGATCGACGCCTCTCTGCTGGTCCACGTTTCAGCCCTGCGGAGGGGTCCTCCTCCTCCTCCTCCTCCTCCTCCTCCTCCTCCTCCTCCTGGCGGCGAGCCGCCTCGGCGGCAAACCGCCTTCCCCTCTCCCAGCCCATCTTCCTCCACAAAGGGCATGCAAGGTTGCGCCCCGAGTGCCCGAACGTACTGTCCAGCTCTGGCGTGCGCCACGCTTTGGCGCGGGAGCGCGGCGCCTCCTTCGCTTCCTCCAGGAAGCAGGCGAGCATCGCCGTCAAGGCCGACCGCTCGAAATTCTCAGGGTTGTCGATCTCCTGCGACCTGGACCGAAGCAGGTTGTGCTTCCGCTCGAGTACGAAGGCGTCCAACCAGATGCCGTCCTCCGCAGGCTGGTCGGGGACGTGCCACAAATAATGATGCTTCGGCTTGATCAGGGCTGGCCCGTGCGCGGCTTTGTGCAGCGCCAAGGAAATCGAAACGGCCTTGGTCCAGACAGCTATCAAATTCGGCACGGCGCCGATCCTCAGGACGTAGCCGAACCGCCTGCCACCTAAGCGCTCGAGGATGCGCGCGGGCCGACGCGGTGCATCCTCGAACGCGCAGGCCAGCGTTTGCGTTTCAGCTGCGGCCGCATGTCCTTTTGCCCTGCATGTACAATTCGAGCATCTTCGCCATCGCCTCGAACGACCGCGCCGCAGCGTTCGCCATGCCGCTGGGACGCAGCTCTGTGTGCACCCAATGACGAATCAAAGGGAACACGGCCAAGCAATCCGACGCCTTGCCCACGAAGTGCGACGCCTTGCAGGTCGCTTTCTTCCGAGCCACGCTGAACAGAAACGCTGGCGGTTTCCTGCCGCGTCTGCCAGTCCGCCACGCCGAGCAGCGATCCCGCCACGTTCCCCACGCGTCGGGGATGACATCCCTCACCGCCTTGAGGAGCGCAAAGATTTCGACCTGCAAGGTCCCGCCGCTGGCCAGCATGGTATGCATGGGGTCCCTCACGTATGTGCTCGGCGGCGCCACCGTCCGCAACGCCTGGCACGCCACCAGAGAACGGTCATCCAGAGTGATGCCCATTGCCGTCTCCTTCGGGGGCCGGAACATCAGAAGGGAAGGAAGGGGGGGACATCAGAAGGGGATCGATGGAAATGTTTTCCTCCCTGGCTCCAGTCTCTCGATGTTCGCTCTGGTTGTCGTGTCCCGCAGCGACGCCAAATCATCATATTGCTGCAAAAACTCGTCTGACGACAGCGGGTCAAAGCGCGACGAGTCAGCGCACCAGAGAGGCACGAGGTAATCATCGTCGTCGTAGTCTGCAAGACATTCCGCCTGATCCAGCACAACGTTCTTGCATTGCAAGCACGGTCTCAGACCTGCAGCGCCCTTGGTGCAGAATGTCTCTTTTCCAGCCGCCTCGTCTGCAATCAAGCGGTGGAACTTGGCGAAAAAGTGCACGCCGCCGATTGGCGCACCGTGCTCCGACAGACTCTCTGGGCCCAGGAACAGCGCGCGAAGCAATGCCCGCGCCACGGCCGAGCCGCCGATGCTCTTCTTCACGACGACGCGCAAGGTGCCGATCGGCAGCCACGCAACCTCCTTCTGCAAGAAGGATCCGAACTCGAGGAAACTCGCATACACCGCGAGCTGATTCCGACGATTATCTATCTTCAAGGCGTTGCCCACGCCAATGTCGTCGTAGTACAGCAAAAGCCTCCACGGCCGATCGCGCGACACAGGGAAACGGCGCATCGCTTCCCAAAACATTGAACTCCAGAGAGGGCAGTCCGACAGGAGCCTCGGCATCAGCCGATGCGGCAGCGCCACGCTCCATCGGAAAGGCGTGCCGATCTTGGGCTGCAGCCGCACTGCGCTGATGAGATCGGCCACGGATGCCGTCTGCGATCGCTGCATGGCCCGAGCGCTCACGTCTATAGCATCGCCCGCGTCGTCGCCATGGCCAAGCGCAGTCACGATTCGCTCGAGCAAAGCCGCGGACACGCCGCGCAGGGCCAGACACTGTTGCAGTCGAGCCCGCTGCTCCACCTGCTTGTCCACCTGCAGGGCGCGTTTCCCCATTGCGCCGACGCCCGCGCGCGGGAGGGGCGGGGGCGGGGGGCAGCGCGAGGCCCAGCGCGGTTGAGAAAAACGAATTGCAGCCAGAGAGACGGGAGTGGAGGCGGGAATGGATCGCGGGGCTGAGTAGCCGCCGAAGGGCATGGCGGTGGAGCCGCCCGAAGGGTCGGGAGGGGCGGCGTAGCCGCCGAAGAGCGTGGGGGCGAGGGGGCATGGGGGGAGGGGGGAGGGGGGAAGGGGGTGGGTGGGGGAGATTGCGGAGGCGCGAAGTGAGCGTAGCAACGGAACTTGCAAGGGGATTTCTTTTTCTCGCACGCAATTTCGAGCTTGAGTTTCAAGCTCGGGTTCCAAGCCGCCAGCGCTCGGAGACGGGCGCGGCTGGCGGCTCGAGCTCGGGACGGGCGCAGCGCGGGGCGGGCGCGGCGGCGGCTGGCGGCTCCTAGTGCGGGTGCGCGCGCTGCCTCCAACTCCTCATCCACCTCCTCCTCCTATCCTCATCCTGCCTCCTCTTCCTCCTTATCCTCCTCTATCGGCCCAGCCGATCGCCGCTCAGCTCTCCTGGTGCGGCTGGCGGCAGAAGAACCGAATGCCGCCTGGGATGTCCTGCACCGTCTGCTTCGACATCTGGCACAGCATCTTGCCGCGCTCCTCGGTGCGGCGCGCCTCCTCCATCATGCGCCGCGCCTTGTCGATGAGCATCTGGCCCTTGATGCCAACGGCGCGTGCATGGCGGCAACGATTGCGCCACTCGATGAAGCGCACCACGATGGTCGCCCAGCTCCACGCACTGCCACCCGTGATGAGCTCGAAGTCATCGACGTCGTACTTGTCCGCGATGCTCGCCATGGCGGCGCAAGACCGCGAAGGGGCACGACCTCGAGCGGCTCCACTTGAGCCACAAAGACTACGGATGAGGGGTGGGACGGTGGCAGATCATGTCATTGGGAAACGCGAGAGAACGGTGCGAGCGCGATGGGCAGCAAAGGCGGCATCTCCGCCAAATGAAGGCAAGGCGGCATGTCCGCCAAGGGCTTGCGAGAGTGGAAAGGCGGCACCCCCGCCAAACGAAGGGCTGCGGTGGTAACGAGTGGGGTGGCGATGGCAACGAAGAAATGTTTTTTCCAACAACAATAACAATTGTACGAAATCACACACCTCGTCATGAGCGGCCCAACTGCCGCCCCTGCCAAGGAGCTGCTTCGCCTCTGCTTCGTCTCCGACCGCCAATCGATGGGATTCCCAACGGTGTCGCTGGCCTTCGCGAGCCACAGCTCGCGCGGTAGGGTCTCGGGCAGGACGCGCTCGAGCAGGAGGGAGTTATGCAAGCGCTTCGCCTCGCCAAGTGAGGCATCGGAGCGCGATGAGCAGCAAAGGCGGCATCTCCGCCAAATGAAGGCAAGGCGGCATGTCCGCCAAGGGCTTGCGAGAGTGGAAAGGCGGCATCCCCGCCAAACGAAGGGCTGCGGTGGTAACGAGTGGGGTGGCGGTGGAAATGTTGTTTCACCAACAATAACAATTGTACGAAATCACACACCTCGTCAGGAGCGGCCCAACTGCCGCCCCTGCTCACGAGCGGCCCAGCGGCCGCGGCTTATTCGGGTCCTTCTCCACCTTTTTCAGGCCGTACTTCATGATGTACTGGGCCACCATGGGGCGCTCAGGTGCTGTGCTTCTGCGCCTCCTTGAGCATCCCCGCGATGGCCCTCGCCGCCGAGCTCGCATCCTTCTGGATGCTGATGGCCTCGTCCTGCGTGATCGTCAACGCCACGCCGCTGTGCACGCGCTTCTGCGCCACCGCCTTCATGACTGCCACAGACTTCCTCGCCGCCTTCGCGTTCTTCACAGCCCATGACGGCACCTTGTCCGCCTTCTCATGCTCGAGGTACCCGTCCAGCTCTGTCTCGAGCCTCGTTGCGGTGCCGATCCACTTCAGCGCCAGGTTTTTCTCCTGCGTCTCCTTCTTGGCCTGCTCGGCCTTCTCCCTCGCTTCCTGTCGCCTCCGCTCCTTCTCAGCGTCCTTATCCCTGCGGAGCCTTCGGGGTTGTCCGAAAATGACAACACTTCGAGCCGAGCGAAATCAATAACCCGATCCGAACCTGAAGAGTTGAACGGAAACCGAAAACGAATGCGAAGCCCAGGCGACACCCCTGCGTTGAAGCCCCAAACGGCCTGCTCTTGCTCCTGTCCTTGCTCTTGCCGCGGCTCTTGCTCCTGCCCTTGCGGCGGCTCTTGCTCCTGTCGCGGTCGCCGCGCGAGCGGCTCCTGCTGCGGTTGGTGTCGCGACGTCTGTCGCGGCGTCTGCTCCTGCTGTCGCGCCTGCCCCTGCTGTCGCGCCTGCTCATGCTGCGCCTCCTCCTCCTGCGGCTGTCAGACCTGCGCCTGCGGCGCCGCCTGGATCTGGACATGTCGCTCTCGTCGCTTCTGTCGCCCTTGTCGCCGCCGTGCTCTGCGACGCCCGTCGAGGCCGCTGCCCGCGGGCCGCTCTGCTTCGCCTGCGTCCTCTTATCGGTGTACAGCTCGTTGCGCACTGCGGCCTCCACTGTCTCGCTCCAGGCCGCCTCCAATTGCGGCCTGTACGTCCACTCCCCGAGATCAGGGTTCCACCTCTTATCCTGCACATTATCTTCAATCTTTTTCGCGTCGAAGCCGTCGTGCGCCCACTTCCTCAGCGGAAGGTACTTGCCACCCTTGCGGACGCGCTCCTCCTCCATCCGTTGGACAGTGATTGAGCTGACCACGAAGGCTTCAATGCGATCGAGGTTCGACAGCCCAGGATCTTCTGCCAGATCCTTGTAGAACTGCTGCTTGAACTCACTCTTCATTTTGGCGAAACACTTTGGCGGCCACTGTCCGAACCTCCGAGAAAGGCGCACCCCGTTCGTGTTGCACGCGTCGCACTGGTAAGTCGACTGGCCCTTCGCCCTGATCCTGTAGTTGCACTCCTTTGCCGTGCGACAGCAGCGGTTGCAACGCACGATGCTATCCTCGATGCCATGCACATCCACGAACTCCCCTACCTGGGGAGCGCCTGCTGGCGGATCGTCCTGAGCTGCCTCCTCCTCCTCCGCCTGCGGCGCTGCCGCCTCGGGCGAGCGCTCCTCATTCTCAACCTTGGCTACCGCGCCCTGCGGTGGAGCCTCTTCCTCCTCAAGCTCACGCTTGGCACTCTCAAGCTCATCCTGTTTGACGCCGAGCTCGGAACCAATCTCGTCGCCGCGCTCCTCGGAGCCCGATGCCGCCTCTGACGCTGCGTCGTCCGGCTCTGGTGGCAAAGCCGCTGCGCCCTGAGGAGGCAGTTCTTCGGCGGGAGCTGCGGCTGACGCAGCTTTGCGAGCCGTCCTCAACGCTGCGGGGTGCTTACCTTTGCCCTTGCCTTTGCTTTTCCCGCGTGCCTTCGGCGGCCCTGCGTCGGTCAATGCGAGCGGCGGCACAAGCTGTCCAGTCAGTGTCATCTGCGTCCCCGATAGCTTAGCTTTCCCACGGGGCTTCGCTGCGGGCGCCTTGGTCATCACTCCCTTGTTTTTCGGCCTGGCTGCTCCGAACATCACTGCCAGAGAATGCTGCTGGTGATCTTCAGCGGGCGGCGTCCCCGCCATGGCGGCGTGACCGCCTTGGCACGCGAGAAGCCGCGCGTCGCGCGCGGCCCTGATGCCAAGATGAGCTGGACGCGAAGCGATGACGAAGAAAACGCGCGGTAAGTGAGGCGGGATAGCCGCCAGCGGAATAGCCGCTTCAAAGGTGGAGGGAGGGGTGGAGTGAGGTATGAAGGGGGCGGCATATCCGCCAGCGGACTCGCCGCTTGAGAGGGTGCAGGGGCGCGGCGAGGGAGGCGGATTGGCCGCCAGCGGACTAGCCGCTCGAAGCGTGGCGGACGCACGAGGTGATACGGATACTGAAATGAATTGCGCGCAACATGACAACCACACAAAATTGACATCATGTTATCATATGTTATCATATGTTATCAGGCGTGTGATAACACCATGCTAACACATGATAACACCTGATAACATGTTATCAGGTGTTATCAGGTGTTATCAGGTGTTATCAGGCGCGTGATAACATCTGCTAACATATGATAACAGCCAACTTTTTTTTGCCAGTGCATGGCGGCGGCGTAGCGGCACGTCCGCCGAGTTAGTTAAGCGGAGCAGCAGGGGCGGAGCGGCGCCCTGCGCTACCGACCGCGGACGGCGCCGCGTGCTTCAAACCGCTGCCTGAGCGGCAGCGAAAAGACGGGCGAGCGCGGAAGCGAGGCGCGCTGCCTGAGCGGCAGCGAAGAGACGGGCGAGCGCGCGCAATCGGGGCGCGCTGCCTGAGCGTCATCATATGCAAGGCGATGGGGGGGTGGGCGGACATGGCGATGCAGCACATCCAGAAAATAGCCGCACTCATTCTTATGCGGATGCAGTTTTCTCCACCCAGCCCTTTTGCCAAATCCCATCCAACCGCCCACCTGTCTTATCCGCCGAAGTTCCCTCACCTTCCTCCCGCTCCGCTCGTCCACTCGCCCCCATATCGCCTTGCATTGGGGGGCGGCTACTCGGCCGCCTGCGTGGCCAAAATTCACCTCGGCGTGGCGGCCTTCACGAATTGAGTGCGGATGGAGTGTGTGGGGGTGTCCTAATTTGTTCTGACACAGGGGTGTGGATTGAAATTGCGTTGGAGGAGTGGGAGGGGGGCGTGTAGGGCCGACGCGTCGCGCCGCCTGCGCGAATGAGGCTACTGATGCTGAGGCGACATCAGTGCTGCCAGCCGTGCACCTGCACCTACGAGGTCGCGTTGCGCACCAGCCAGCTCGCGAGCACGTCCTCGCACTCGGCGATGCATTGCTCCTCTTGGCGGAAAGCGTTCACCGCGCGCTCCGCTATCTGGGCGCACATCTGCGTCGCAGTACGCGCGCGGCGCAACGAGTCGAGCACAGCCTGGCACTGGGTGCCGTTGAGCACCACGATGCTATCGGGCGACATCTGGCTGGCCAACGCCGTGGACATCCTCATGCCCGCCGTGGCTGACGAAGCTGCGCCTGACGATCCGCTGCCCTCCGAGAACGCGTCCTTCAGCTGGTGCGAGCGCTCCACGCGGGATTGTGGAGGGATTGGCGCCAGCTCGACCTTCGGCGCCCCCTTGCGCCTTTTGGCGGAGCCCCAGTTGGCCTTCTCCTCCTCCCTATTGGCGCCACTCCGCGAGGTCGACTTCCCACGAGTCGGGCTCGAGTGCGACAGCAGCTACCTCCGCTTCGTCCTCGCTCAAGTCGTGGTACGGCGACACGCGAAGGTGGTTCACCAGCTTGTTCCTGGCCGCCTCCACTGTCTCTCCCTGGAACCACTTGCCGCCCCTTTTGCAGCTGCTGCTCTGTGGGCACTTGAAGCCGAACATGACGGTCTTCTCGCCCTGCTGGCCTGCCATGGCGGCAGGGCGAGAAGTGCACGGCTAGCGCAGGGGCGGCGTGGGGCGCGAGCCTGTGCGCGCCTAGATTCGAGCCGATACAGCGTCCCAACAACAAAAACATACATGTGTAAGAGGCGCGGTGGCATCGCACATTTCGGGATGCCAGCAGGCGGCGGCGGCGGTTTAGCCGCCAATGGAGGGCTCAGGGCGGCGTGGCCGCCAATGGGCGGTTTAGCCGCCAATGGGCGGCGTGGCCGCCAATGGAGGCTTCAGGGCGGTTTAGCCGCCAATGGGTGGCTCAGGGAAGGACTGGTGTTTTTTTCCAACCGCATAGAACAAACCCGATGCGCCGATGCTCGTATCTGAACGGCGGTTGTCCGCCAGGCGGGGGGAGGCGGCGCGTCCGCCAATGAGATAGATCGGCAACGAAGAGAGGGGAGGAGAGATGAGATGAGACGAGGCGGGGAGAGGCGGCGCGTCATGACGCGTCAGCGCGGATAGCTGCAACTATCCGCGCTCGAATTACGGAAGCTATGCACCCCAGCCCGCTTGCAGGTCCACGCGATCACCCTACAAGAAGACATCTCGGCGGGCGGGCGGGCGCGGCTTCGCTGGCGGTGGTGCCATCTTGCTTGTCGGCTGCAGCCGACGCCCTGCCCTCGGCTGCGCCATGCTGGGCTTCCCTGCTGGCGGCTGCCTGGTCTTCGGCGGCGGCGGCCCCATGGTCTTCGGCGGCGGAGGCGGAACTGGAGGGTTCATATTGCCAGTCCTCCACGGCGCCTGCTGAGGCATCGTCTTGGGCAAGTTCGGCGCCTTGGGCTCCCGATGCATCAGCTGAGGCTTGGGGACGTGCGCCTCGCGCACCCGCGGCGCTGCCTTGTTGCCGTGCAGCTTCGCGTACATCTCGCGCTTTGCGCCACCTCGGTTCCCCCAGCGCTTCGCATTGGCGCGCCACGCCTGGCCCTGCCACGTCTGCGGCCCGCCCATGGCGGGGCCAGGCGGGCCGCGGTCGCGGAACTTCTTGTAGTCGTACTTCATCTGGTACTCCTTGAGCACGGCGAGCACGTTCTCCGACCGCCAGTCGATGGGATTCCCAACGGGGTCGCTCAGCCAGGCTCGCAGCTGCGTCCTGAACGCCTCCACCGCGCTGGGATGCGCCTCCACCGCCTCGGGGGGCTCTTCCACCACAGGCGTCGCGCCCCGCATGTGCGACGCGAGCTCCTTCACGAGAGCCGAGGGCGGGAAAGGCCGCTGCCGCGGGTCCCGCGGCGGTGACGTCGGCCCCCGCCTGCGCGGCGGCGTCGACGGTGCCCGCGGGTGGCGCGGGCTGCGCGATCGCGCTGGCTGCGCCGCCAACGTGGGCGCGCTGGCTGGCCGACTGCCGCTGGCGGAGGAAGACCGATCCCCTGCGTTGTTGTCCACGCCCGCAAGGTCGGAGAGCAACTGCATCGCTGGCCCGAACATCTCCTGCGCCGAATCGCCAAAACAGTTCGACCGAGAGCGGCCAGCCAGTTTCGCGCGCGATGCGCGCGTCCCTGGCTACCGCACGCGGGGCCACTTGTTTTGGCGATGCAGCTGCCTCCAACGCGTCGAACGCGCTGTCGCTGTCTGCCATGGCCGCGGCCGCAGTGCGAGGCGCCGAGCGCGACGCGGTGGCTGCGGCGCAGCCTCGGCGCGCGGGCCCCAGCCCACGCGTCGGCGCGAAAGGGGGGGGCCGACCCCGCGCGGGCTCGCGGGCACCCGCGGGCCGCGGGCTTGAACCGAAATGGAATCGGACGCGGAAGCGAGACTTCGGGAGGAGGGGGAGGGGGTTGCCCATGGACCCATTGAAGTCTTGGAGCTCCTCGAGCCCTCGGGGGCCTCTCAGAAGGGCCCCGCTGGTTCTTGCGACGGGGTCTCGGGGGAGGGGGCAGAGTGAGGGTGGCATTGGGAACCAGAAATATAAGTGAACTGGCGTCCCTTTGAATGTGCAGGTCTTGGTTCACTTGTTTTCGTCGTTGAACGGGCGGTGGCAACGTCGGTGCCTTCGCGCGCGCCCATGCCATTCTGGGTGAACGCCTTCGCCGTTCGAGCAGTGGGCGTCTCCCCGACGTTAGTTGGCGTGGGATCCAGTGCCTGACAGCGGAGAGGGGGGCGCAGGGACGTGGCGCGGGGGCGCGGAGTGGGCCGAGTAGGGGAGGGGGGCGGCGGCATGTCCGCCTGAAGGGCGGAGGAGCGCAAAGGGGTGGGGCGGGGGCGGCATGTCCGCCACGAGTTGGAAGGCGAGAAGGCTGCGCTACAAGGCGGCATATCCGCCACGAGGCGGCATATCCGCCACGACCTTTTTGTTATCCCGAGGCCGCCCCGTTGGCCTGGAGAGTTGAAGAGTCGTAGCGCGAATTACTCGCCGCGCGCCCTGGCGGCGAGCTCCTTCTTGACCAGCTCCTCCGCCTCCGCGATGGCCCTGGCCTCGGAGCGATCGGGCGCAACGAGGCAGCAGGGGGCGGAGGGGGCGTCGAGGCAGGGGCGAAAATGAAGAGAGCGCGGAGGAGGGCGTCGAGAAGGGCGTCGGTGAGAATCTGGCCTTGTCGGCCTCATCGCCCGCGATGTACTTCAGGCTGACGTTGCTGCCAGGGACGCCGACCCTGCCGCTGCGGAACTGCACCTGGGGGGCGGAGCAACGATGAACAGTCGCCTGAAAGGCGGCGGGCGCGCAAACTGCGACCCCAGCGGGGCTGCTGGGAATCGCCGCGCGCGCCCGACGCCTCATCGGTGGGAGGTTCAACCCCGCTCGCCAAGTTGCGTGTGGTCTGCATCTCCCACCTCGGCTTCGCCCACTTGCGCTGCTTGTCCTTCCCAGCCGCGCCGTCCGTCTTCTTGCCCGTGGGGAGCGGCGTCTTCTTAGCCACGTTGCCCGTGGCAGGCGGCGTCGTCTTCTTT